CCAGCTTTGCCAGGAACGCTGCGCGCTTCGCTTCCAGGTCAGGGTGCTTGTTGCATATGAGCAGGGCATGTTCGGGCGACTCCACCGCGTCCGAGCACATGCGGCAGAGCCTGCTATCGCGAGCAACCTTCATGTAGTCCGTGCCGTTGCGTTTGTGTGCGTGCCGAAGCTTCTCCAGCGCGAAAGGGTGTTCGCTGGCCAGTATGCGGATGAAGGCCTTGCGGTCGTCCTTGTCGCGAAGCCGGAGGTAGTGGCGGAACTGAAGCAGTGATTTCCTCGGCGGGCCGCGCTTCTGCGGCTCGAGCCTGTCGAGCATCATGTAGAGCCGCGGTGAGGTCCGGATTTCGTCCAGGAATTGCTCGCGCATGGCCTTGTCGACTTCGCTGATAAGCCTGTCCACGGCGCCCGGCAGGCGAAGCATCGCTGCTGCTGGAAGGGTGACTGCACGTGGAAGCGCCCCGAGAGCGTTGTACAGATCGCCGAGCCACCCCGAGTGGCCTGCGTCGTAGAGCGCCAGAGATTCCTCGAGTGCGTGGTACAACAGGTGGGTCGGGGGCTATTCGAAGGCGTAGCGAAGGTAGCGCAAGGCTAGCGTTGCGCGTCAGTACCGCAATGGCATGAGGCCGAGTTCCGTGAACAGCGGCAGCTTCATCGATTGCGAAGAGAGGCCGAGGATCCTCTGCAAGAAAGAGACCTGCACCTTCTCCAGCATTTCGATGTTACGGTCCATGTCGGGCACGATGTCGGCTGCTGCCGTGAGTAGCGCGTCGACCCGCGCCGTGTAGAGGAGGCGAGCGGCCGCGGGAGGCATACCCTTCAGAACCGAGTCGGCGCCCGTGATCGCCCATGCCGCCCTGTTCGCCTTGTCCCTGGTGACCTTGTACAAGGGGACGCAGATGTTCGCCTTGTCGCTGGCCAGGGGCACTCCGACGTAGGTGACCTCGCGCACGTACGTGAGTTGTGTGTCGCCGAGGTAGAGTGTGAGCGGGCGCGTGGGTAGGCTGTTGAAGATCATCAGGTACGTCTTCATCGCATTGACGAGGAGCTGCTTGCGACCTGCGTAGTTGAACAGGTACCCTAGCTTTGCCTGGAGGTTGCTGAAGCTCCTCACCCTCCTTGTCCACATGCGTCTGTACGCGTGGGCAGAACGCCACAACATCCTCCCCCCCCTCCCAGAACGGCTTCCGCGAAGGCTACCGCACGAATAACAACGTGCTCATCCTCCGGGCCATCATCGAGAAGTACCGTGCGCTGGACAAGCCAGTCTACGTCGCCTTCGTTGACATTAGCAACGCTTTCCCATCAACCAATCGAGATATCCTCTGGGTCGAGCTACACAAGCGTGGCTGCTCCGGCCCCATAATCGACTGGCTGCGAGAACGCTTCATCTTATCGGAATCGAGGATCTTATCTGGCTGATGTAAGTGATTTCCACGGGTGTCATGGCGATTCCAGCTTCATTTCGGGGGTTGAGGACCTTGCTTCGCAAGGTGACGTTCAGCGCTCAGCGCTCTCATCGCTCATGTAGCTGTCTTTCCGACGCCTGGAATTCACAGTCTTTGGCGGGCATGCGGAGGATTGCGCGGTATACATGGACGTGTTGGCGGATCGAGCCCTCATCTGCGAGGCGTCGCTGGAACTTCATGGCCCAGGTCGTCGCAATCTACCAGTCTCTGGTCGAGTTATCCGAGTTACCATGTATGACGTCCTATGACGTCCCCAAAGATGTTGACAGAGCTGCTCCCCATGTCTTCCGTCCAAACCGACACAGCACAGAAGAAAGGCGTTGTGGAGTGACGCATGGAGAAAGCAGTTTGACGCATTTGGTCGCTGTTGCCCATGAGGCCTGAGGTGTACACATCGCTTGAAGAGTCGTCACAGATAGTCGGACACGGCGAGCTCAATGAGCAGACTAACCTACTTGCCAAGTGGCTCGTGGCAAATGGAGTCCAGGTGGAGGACAAGGTGTGCTTATGTAGCGTACGAAACGCGTACTACTATGCCGCGATGGCCGCGATCCTGGAGGCGGGGGCATGCTACGTTTCGGTAAGTGTCTCATTGCTCGTTGTGTAGCCCCCCGCACTGATATCTAAAGATAGACATCGAAATGCCCGACGAGCGCGAGAAGTTCATCGAGCGGAGAAATAACGCCAGATTCCTCACCGCCTTCTACGTCCATATCTCCGAGATTTGCCAAAGCTGGGGCCTCGGTACTCGTCTATGGACAACGGGCACTCTTCGCGAGGAAGGTGGAAAGCATACGGGGCGACTGTCATTCGGTACGATATGTAAGATATACGAATATTTACATGAGGGACGAGATAGCAGTCGAGCCGTGATGATGAGCGGGACGTGAGACGCAGTGCTACGAGAAGGTGGGCGAAGCCCACACGCAGCGGCCTCGGCCGGCAGCGGAAACGCGTCGCGCTATGTGCGCGGAGTGGCGCGAAGTTCGGTGCGAGATTCGATGCGCACGGAAAACGCGTTCGAAGCTGCACGGCGGAAGGGCGAAGCGCGCGGGGCTTCCGGCCGACTTGAGGGGCCAACCTGGACAATGAGGGGGCTGAGACGAAAGTGAGCGAGCATCCCCCACCCGCCAGGGTGGACCTCAAGTGAGGCCGAAAAAGGATGAAGACAAAATGAATGATGGAAGAGAAAAACAGTGGGGTCGAGAGTGCTGGACAGGATTGTACAGTGGGGTCGAGAGTGCTGGACAGGATTGTACAGTGCTTCGACTCTACATGAAGGGAAGTAGGAGGGTGGGTGAGTTTGCAGACCGTGAGCGCTGTGAGAGCTGCACTGGCGGTGAAGACGTGTGCGACCACGGAGGTGGGAGCAGAAAGATGTGCGGCCACGTTCCGCGCCGCGCCTCCATAGATCCTGATCTGCCTGCAGGACTCGTTCCTCGCCCTTTGGCAGATCGACACTCTGGTCAGCGCGCCACGCTTTGAGCAGCACAGGCATGTCGCCGACATCGTAATCACTACATACTCACGTCGCTATGGTATCGAGCATGATCAAAGCGCTTTTGGAGATCGCCGACGGATTGCTGCTGAAATATCCAGCTTCTAGCGGTGAGGAGATCATGGACGTGATAAGCGTGCACTATAGTTAAGAGCAGTCGGTTGACTGGGAGTGTAGTTGTTGCAGGAGTGGTCCAATAGCAAGGACCTATTGATGGCGGGCTTCTACGGGTAAGCTCTTGCATATACTCTACCTGGCGAACTTGCTCATCACCTCCAGCCCGACTGAAGCCACCATTGGTTGGACGCACATGCCGACGCATCGGCCCAAGCGACCGAAAGGAAGATATCGGCAATCACGCAGCGCCTTGCAGCGCTTATGCCAGGCCCGGGGAGAAAGGCCCAATCAATGATCTATAATGCCCGAGGCCTTAACATTAACTGTGATATATGAACAGCTGCTAGAATTGTAACATGTAGGAAAGACAGATGCCTGTCGCGATAAATACAGTGAGCAGGTAGAATCATATTCCGCGGATCTGGAATGAGGCAACCCGTCGGTGCTGGGCGGAGCGCACAATATTCTCAGCGGCCTGACACAGTGTAGACAGCGTAAGATTGACCGTAAGGGGTCTATTCAGAGATGCCAAGATGTTCATCGTCCTTTGAAGCTCTTGGTGAGCGGGAATATCATCTGCAACAGCCGTGATAAGCATGGCACCGAGCGTGAAACGCGTGATTACTGACCACTATTGATGACAAGCCCATTCAGAATAAGAGTATCTACCAGCTGATACTCTGGCAACATCCTGGCGGCATTGCAAAGTTGGAACACTGGACCACCGAACTCAATCTGGCACCGGTATTCCAATTTTTTGACGCCCGGGAATGGCACAGGCAAGGGGTGAAGGCGAGATGCGCTTAGGCACAGGCGAACAACGCCAGCCAACATATCACTACGCCCCACTTGCCAGAGAAACGAGCTTGCGTCCAATAAAAGTGGAGTGTACTCTATGCACACTCTCAGGAGCGTTCGTGGGCCTCGAGGTCCGAATGAGTTGACGGACACTTCCAGTTCATCACTCTCGTACGGACGCCAGGGTAAGCGAGCACCGTCTTTGATGATAACCTCTTCGAAAGGCGAGGCTTCAGGAGCATGCCAGTGGTGCCGCCAATGCTCTTCCAGCGCCGATGTACAGCGGACGATGACGTTCGCGTCTGCCATCGTATTTCGGCGAATGCACAGCGTGATCGCACAATCTTCTGGTATTCTCATGCGCTCTAGCAGACCAGCACAGATATACGGGGGCGCATCGATAGAAAACGCGTGTAACTGGAAGTCGAATTGCGGAGCACCAGGTGACCATGTATTCTGATCGCCAGCGAGGATATCATCCTGCCATGACAAGGCCAACGTATGAAGACAGTTGAGTCTGCCGAATGCGTGCACCATGTCGTCGGGGGGAAGCTGCGTGAATGTGCCATCAAGTACGAGATCTTCCAGTCTCGGCGGCAGGCCACGGAGCTCTATGTTCCCACATCGACGCAGATGAAGGCTCGATAGACCCGCAAGGGTATCGGAATGAAGAGTGTCCCACAAAGGGAGGAGAGCGGGAGGGTGAGGATCCTCCCATGAGTCGCCATCGTAATGAACATAGAGAGAGCGCAACACCGGTAGGTGAGCAGTCGTCATGGCTATCAGCAGCTCGCGCCCAGAATCCGTGTCGTCGAATTCAAAAGATGCCACCTGAACGTCGATGGTCGATATACGAGGGGAGAGCTCGCGCACGAGGTCGAGAACGCAAGCGATGGACGGTTTAGAACCATGGGGAGATTCCTTAACTACGCGCAGGATGATGTCCGCGTGTTGAGACCTGAGCTTGCGTAGATCGGTGGCCCCGCTATTCCGTGCGGGTAAGACGACCCATAGCGCGAGCGAGCCATGTGCGATATCTCTCAGACGGGAGCAAGTACCCATAATGGCATGAAGTGTATCGTCCGCGGGTGAACGGCATTCGCCTGGGATATATGGCCCATTCTCGACAGCAAGGTAGATGATGCGTGTCGTGATTTCGGAGGGGAGACACAAAAGCGGGCTGCTGTAATGGTTTTGCAATCGACGTATTCGTGAAGCCGCTTTACTCAAGATCCAGGCTTGATCATCGAGCACACACATCCTTCCTGCGCTGTCGTGTCCAATCATAGCCTCCTCTAGTTGTGAGAGGTGGGATGATATCCAATGTTGCAGACTGGTGCTCAATGAGTACAATGTCGGGAGCGCCAAAGAGCTAGCAAACCTACTCTTGCGTACTTTGCATTAGCGGCAACGGTGGTCAAACGGTGGTGATCGATAAAGCTAAGTCTGAAACTAGCGAAGATTGCTGCGGAAGGCGACACGGTCACCTGTCTTTCGCAGACACAATGACACTAGAGCGCTGGATTCTGTCAGCAGGGACCTAGCTTGATCCATTGCTTTGTACATATTGCCTGAGTTGCGCGCAACACTGATATCCTCGACAGACTTCGAGGAAGGGTCTAATTCGTCGCGCATGTGTGCTGAACTTGAACCTGACCTAGGCGCCGGCCTTGGCAGGCATGTCGGATCGATCAGGCTTGCAATGGAGACCGTACCTCCCCCAAGTTCGGGTCATACACTTGCCGCGTACTTGATGCCGTCTGGTTAACTTGATGCCTGTTAATTCCTGTACATACACGAAAGACTTGCTCGACGCCGTGTTGGATCGAGATCGAGACCGGATCAATTATTGCGTCATGCCGCCGGCGAACCCCGGTTGGGCAGTGCCTGAGCAGGTTTTGACCTAGCCAAGCTAGATAAGGTAATCAGAATGTGAGAACCACCTTGACGGATCATGCGCCCTACGTCGGTAGTGCGTCAGGCCCCGCTCGTTCTTCTCAAATGCCTCTCGGTGTTCTGGTTTTCTGTCCCTCGTGGCGCAACTTAGATCTTACGATCTTACTCTTCATCGACGTCCATCTTCTCTCAATCGAGCTCCCTTCCTCCTCCTCCTCCTCCTCCTCCTCCATCTTACGCCCATTCGCCGATCCTCTTGCCCTTCAGCGGCGGCGGTCGCGCCGCGTCCACCCTTCAGCATCACGCGCTGAAATCGCGGTACCCGAAGATAACCGAGAGCACAATGTCCGGTTGTTCGCATTTATCCCTACGGTGTTCGTGGCGACCATCCAGAGCACGAAATCCTCATTATAGGAGCCCACGATCTCCTCCTTGTGTTCGGTCGAGCGGGCAGATAAGCCATAGGAAGCCGCGACTAACAGTCAACTTTGCGGCGAGCGCCAGGAGTCCGAAGACGAGTGACTTTCCGGCTCTAGTACCCGCTATAAGGCTAACATCATCATCCCCCAGCACGTTCAAAGTTGCTTCCAGTCCTTGGGCTCCTCGTTGAAGATGGCCCGGCACGTCTATCGACATATTGCGGCGACGATGGACTCGCGGCCATTTCTTTTTGGCGGTACGACCAGCTCAGTGTGAAAGGAACAGACTGTTGCACAGATGTACGAGGGACTGGTCGCCGTCTAGTAGCCCGAGGAGAGGTTGATTAACTAGTAGCTCGCAACCTATTAGGCATACGCGGCATTACGGATAGCTAGACGATTTCCTGTGGGCCTGCGTCAAGCCTGCGTGCACGCGCAGGCAGATATCCGATATAATTTCAATACCCTTCGGGCCCTCGGGACTGATCCCAGTGATGACGCAAAGGCCGGATGATGCCGTGAAGGGCCTGACTTTGAAGGGAGTCTTCGAAGATGGCGTTAGAGATAAGATCTAAGATACCCCTCTTTTGCAAGTATTGATTATAAAGACATCGATCCACGACCCTCCTCGCACGTTAGTCGAGACTGGTGCGCCGCACCGTGACGGCGCCTCTTCTGCCCTGACCTCCACCGTCCTGATCTTTCTATCGCATAGAAATCGTGATCTTGCTTGATGTCCGTTCAGCGTGCGATCCACCGCTCGCCGGTAGCTGCTCATCTGCAAAGCGTCGCCATTATGACAGTCGCATCGTTGACATCGCCGTATGGTCTCATCGACTTATCTCTGAATCTGCATTGTTGTGGCATAAACCGGACTTGGTCTCCTTTCCAGTTTCCATTTCCTCTCCGCCAAATACAGAATACTGTGAACTCCGTACTGCTTCGTCGTCGCGGTGTGGTCATTTGAACTTGGCCGTTCCGGACACCCTCCGCATCGTGGTGCCTCGTCATGTGTGGACGCCGCCGCCCTACCCGCGCGCACAGCCTCAAGCGTCACACAGCCCTGTGCTCTCCCCATCCACGGCAGGCGCAACCCTGCTCACATATCTACGCGCGCCTATAGCGCCATGTTGCCGTCTTTGAGGCTGCTTCACTTCAAGGACGGCACACACGTTCCGGGTGGTGAGTTCATCGGCGGATTGATGGCGGATCACCGCGCTCACCGCGCTGAACCACCCGCCGCGGCGCCACCCGCGCCTACCGCCTATCCCACCCCTCTTCCTAATCATGTTACCTACCTACCAAGTCCACTCATAGCTACGACACCGCATACCTGTTTCCATATATCCAGCGTCTACATCTACAGTACACCGTCCCCTCCTTCAAGCCGAGATTCCGGCATTTCATTTTACAGGTTCTCTATCGTGAGAACTACACCGAAGCGTCTCAACACTTAGTGGTTTCGATGCGGAGTTCCTAGAACTCCTGGTGCTCCCCTCTATCTAGGTTGTCACGGGAGTCAAGAATTGGACACTTGACCACCACCACCACCACCGCCACCACCACCACCACCACCACCACAGCCCGCCTATACCGA